GCAGCTGGGCGGGCGGCGGGAGGCGGCGGGAGCCGGCGGCCCGGTGCCCTGTGCCCTGTGCCCTCCCCAGGCTGGAGCGCTACGCGTTGCGCTGTGTGACCTCCCGGGCGGCTGCTCGCGGCGGTCTTCCGTGTGGGGGCCTTTTAAAACGCGAGCGGTCTCCTCAGGACAGAGTGAGGGCTTACCGGGGACTTGCAGGCAGGTATTAGTCCCGCTAATTTGTACATATATATGTCACATCTTACCCATAGAAATATATATAGCATACCAAGAGATAACTCCCTGTATTCATACACGCGCACACTGCTAAATTGAATAGATTTGCACCTGGTTGCTCTCTGGTCTTGAGACCGCGACTCCCTCAGGCTGTGCCTCTTCTCACGTCATTTTAAAATCGTTCAAGATTTCCAACCAAATGCGTTAAAATGTGTGGCTTTTCCCTGTCTTTGTGGAAAAAAAAATAATTCGTAAATCCAAATACATACTGTCTGACTAGCTTAGGTGGTGTGATATTGTTAATACGTATTTACAAGTTTTTAGCCACAGCTTGGCCAACTATTTCCAAATTATCCAAGTGTTTTTAATTACATATACGGAATCTGATAAAATTCTGAATCCTGAACCTAGGCCCTGATCCTGGTACTTGATTTGTGTGAGGCATTCAGCCACATGGAGGTGCACGAGTAAAGAAGAAATTACAAAATTGGGTTCCTAAACTGTTTTTTTCCAATTACGATGGTAGGTGCACTGATGTACTTGGATAAAACTCAGCATGCATAGTAACATATGACCAATCTGAGTTACTTTTGTAGCTGTACCAAGGTTAAAAAACCAACGTAGTAAGATTAAAAGATCCTCTGGTACATTTCTAGTAAGAAGATTTAAAAAAACCCAAAAAACTCTGACATATTACTTACACAGCCTATTAAACCCTAAAACAAACTTGATTTTGTCCTATAGCTAATCACAACTATAAAGCATTAAATTGCTCAATTTGATTTTAAAAATTAATTGTGAATTACTATGATAGTATATATTACAGTAGTAATGGCTAGCTTACTTGCAGCGTCACCTGTTCTCTGAAGCCAAAGAAAGTAATTTTAATTACTTAACATTTTGAATCTCAGCTTTTGATTTTTATTTATGCACTAATTATTCTGAACTGAGTTACCTGGTCCAATGAAGTGTAACGAGTATTTCTCCTACTCATATAGGTCTTTGAGTAGGTACGTGCCGTAAATATCTTTTGTAGAGAAACTTTTGCATGTGGCAGGAAAGTGGAGCAACATTGAAATTAACAGGAGCGAAAGTGTGCATTTTCTTCATTAAAAACATGCCAAAACCAATGTTATGCAGAGTAAGATGCTAATTAATAGAGTTCCTAAGCCTACTTTTCTGATTTATAGGCTGATTTTTCACAAATAAACTACTTTTTAGATATTTTAATTAATGTTGAATCCATTTGGACTGAAAAGGCAGTCTGTTCCTGAGGTGTTTGTTCACCAGTTAGTGTCCGTAGTAAACTAGCTTTACTCATGGAAAAAAAAAAACTAGTTTAAATGAAAGATTTTATAGGGTCAGGCCTTAAGAATATTAAACCAAAGTTAAAGAGGGAAAACATTCTTGCTTCCTGGTATAAATCTAGTAGAAACAGTTTAATTTGTTTAAAATTTTATTACTACTCTATGCAAAATATTGACTTTTATATTGTTTGAAGCAGGAAGACTCTTTTTTTTCTATATACACTGATAACAATAAATCACTATTAGGTATGTAGAACCTCTTTAATGTATAAAATATTGTTCTAGCGAAAAGAGTTTGGGGGGGTTACCTTCTGAATGCTTAGGAGCATTTCAAGAAGAGAGACTTGTTTTATCTTGCTGTCTTTTGTTTTTATTTCATTGAAATTTATTATTATGAAGATTTACATTACTACTTTTAAACTTGGATTGTTATCAATGTCAGAAATACTGATATAAATAGAAAGCAATCTATAGCAAATTGAACTTCCAGTCATCATATGTTATATACAGTGAAAAATAATATTTAAAAACTTTATTACCACATATAATTATAAGCCTTTTTCAGGAATGAAAATTGAGCTTAACTAAGCTACTTTAATAACATAATAAAAATGCCCTCTACCTACCTGACCACTACTCTTTGCAAGCAAATTACCATTTATGTTTAGGTGTGTATGCTTAAATAAATAAACCTCCATTTAGAACAGTTGTGTGCTTGGAGCAGGGTATTTTAGTAGCAAAGTTTCTTTACTTTTTATTGTTAGAATAAAAACCTTTTTTTTCTTCAGTTTTTTTGTGTGTGGTTTTTTTTTTTAAGATAAGCATGGTTTTAGAAATCTTCAGAGTGCAAATTAATTCCATTCTAACAGTGTGAACCATCACTCCAGTAGTCACTTATAGAATCATTTAGGTTGGAAAAGACCTTCAAGACCATAAAGTCCAACCATCAACCATGCCCACCAAACCACGTTCTGAAGTGCCTTGTCTATGTTCTTTTTGAATACCTACAGGGATGGTGACTCAACCACTTCCCTGGGCAACCTGTTCCAATGCCTGATAACCCCTTCAGTAAAAAAATTTTTCCTAATATCCAACCTAAACCTCCCCTGCCACAACTTGAGGCCATTTCCTCTCATCCTATGTCCAGGCACCTGACAGAAAAGACCAGCACCCACTTGTTGACCTTCCTATTCTGATCTGTGAAAAAAAGAAAGAGATCCTACATTGGTGGCTTGAAGAGCTCAGCATTGTGTGTCAGGGAGCAGCAACGGCTGCTGCTCGCTCAGGGAGGGAGCCTAGGAGGTAAGCGCATACAGCCAGCAGGTCAGGGGCTTTGTCAGAGTACCTGAGCAGGGCAAATATTAGGCAAGTCCACAGTGATAAGGCAGGTCTGAGGTCAAGCTAGAAGTGCCAGTCAGTGAGGCAGGGTTTAATCCAGCCTAGTGCTTGCCAGGCAGGTTCTTACTGACAAGGCAAATCCAAGGTCAAGATAAAAATCAGTTCTCAGGCAAAGGTCCAGATCAGGAGTGTACCTTTAGCTAGACAGGGACCTACTTGTGATTGAGCTGGGAACCAATGCTTTCATAGTGTAACTCAGGCCAGGACTGGGAGTCCTGGGCTGAGCTTAAATGGGGCTCCTGCGCTGTAGGCAGGGGTGTGGCAGGATGCACCACGTGGGGCTGGTCAGGGTCATTAAAGCTTATTAATGCACTTAAGGCCCTGATATGGTATGTGTATCTTGAAGGGACAGTATTTGTTGGTTTAGGTAGTGCTAAAAATGGAGTTAATACGTATATGCTATTGTCATATTAGGTAGTTTAATATTGTGCTAGTTTCAGAGGCTATTAAATTAGTTGCGCATCTCAAACTTGCTACAGTAAGGAGTTAGGAATTTCTATTCTGCTGGTAAGGGAACACTGAGGCAGGCTCTATTAAATGTACTTTGAGCAATGTTATAGGTATTCTTTTCCTACAAAGCTAGCTCCTTTTCTTTTAATAAAACAATGTGAAATGTAACAAGGCAGAGCTGTAAGAATGGATGGTCTTTACAGCTACTAAAAACTGTGTTATATTATGCTGCTAGGATTAGTAACTTTTTTGTTGTTGTTCACGCTTCTTCACATGATTGTATTTGCCTTATTTATCTGATAAATATAATTAAGTTCTATTCAGTTAGTCACTTAAATCTAAAGAATTGTTTTGCAAGCAAAAGCTTTAAAGGATGTCTGTGATAGCTTGTGTTTTGCAAGCAAGTTGTGTATTTGAAAATGGAGAGAGAATGCTTTTGTGTTTAAGGTACAAAACCATGAGACACACTTAACTCTTAACTGTACTGCTGACTTCTTTCTAATCTCTGTCAATGAACTGGTTTGCTAGCCTTTATTAGCACTCTCACTTCTATTAACCATATGCTTTTTTGAATTCCTAGCATCAGAAACACTAACAGCAAAGTAACTTGAATTTTAATTTCTAACATCAGCACTTAACATTAAGAACTTCTCTTGTGTCCTGCAGACCTGAAAGGTGCAAGTAACTTCACGAAAAATGGTGTATGACTAGACTTGGTCTAAATAGTATATTCTGCGATACTTAAAACTGTTACTCTTCGGATCCTCTTACCTAGCACTAGCATGCCAAGAATTTCAGCTTTATACAGCTCTATTTCTATTTACTATACTGTTCATTGTAGTTTGCCTGGGTTGCATAAAATGTAATGTCTCAGAAATATTGTGGAGCTGAGACTATAGCTGCACTTCTTTTCAGTATCCTTCTTCATGTGGGGTGTAGGGAAGGATTTCTGTTTATTTTTTTGTGGATGCAGAACCAGGTCTGACCCCAGTATGGTTCATGGTTGGTTTTCAAAGGATGATTTTTTTTCTTTTGGGGGTAGTTTTTGCACTGATAGCTTTCTACCTTTTGTGAATTACATCTAGCTTTGATTAGTAGGTATAGAAGTGTGGTTTAAAAAAAAACTAGTCACAGAAACAGTACAGTCTTGATTTTGCCTTGTTTTATAGTTTCTCTTAGAAAACTCTAGAGAGGCAGCTGCACGATACAGGAGATTTTCATTCTGTCCTTTGTGGGGCTAATGGAAAATGAATAGTGCCATAAAAAGCTGGCAGTACAAGTGCAATTCTATACAGTTAATTTTTTAATGCTTAAAAACTCACAAAATTTCGAAATATAAAACTGTCAATGAAATGCTTTGTAAGTATGGTATCATTATTGCCACCTTCAGGC